AGGATTGTTTTAATGTGGGACTAAGTGCGGTATTTTGTAATGCTTGAAGGCTTGTTCTTGACGGTATATACAGGATGGTAACGTTATTTCCAATTAAAGCTCATTTACATTATCTTTGGGGGAATGACCTTAGCTGTCAAACATGCTGACTGGAAGGTAAAAATGGATCATCTTCAAATGTGATACGCTGAGGAAGTGATTAAATGTCATCTGCTGTTAAAATAAAGGAGATATGCATTAATAAAGAAGGCAGTATCAGCTTAGCCTCAACTAAGCCACGTGATGTTCATGAACTATAACTGACGTGAAGACACACCCAGTAACAGGTGTTTTCACACTGAAATTGTGATGTAATGGATACACCTGGTACTGTATTAGGGTTTCCTCAATGCTTGTCCTATGCTGCCTCTAAATCGTACAGAATCAGCACTTGCACAGTACCGTAATATCGGTACATGGTTAAGGTCTGATTTGACCAAAGCATTACATTCTTACTTTTTCAATGTTGGGATTAATACTTATAAAATGTATATTCACTTGTTTACACCCGGCCCTACTTGTTTTTGTCCAGACGAATGATTAATCTCGACTGTCTCCATCGCAGCACCATTCAGTCTTGCGTAAAAGGGACTCGTGGGTTTGTCAGATCTGTCGTGACACTAGCGGCTAGTGTCACGACAGATCTGACAAGTGACTAGCCTCACCCTGCAGGAGGCCTTCTGCACTGTGAAGAAATGTGAACGCTATGGTTAGCGCAAAGGGAATTCATGATCTATGCGTTTCTGATGACGGTGATGACGACGACGATGATTCATGTCATCGGTGGTTCCCGAACTTTGGTCCGTCAACCACTTCCCACGGTCTTGCATACCACGGCTGGCGGTCTTACTGATGTATGTTAAACTTCTTTCATATCGTACCTAGCCAAACGTGCGAATCGTAGGTGCAATGTAATGAATACAGTGCCTATTTATACAAACATTCCTAAGAACTGTTCCACACATGATTATTTCACAATATATGATTATTTGACTGCATGGTGGTCCGTGGCCATTATTTATTTATTGTTGGCAGTGATCTGTGGGTCCATTGCATTACAACCATCAACCCAAATTTTTATTGAAGGGGGTGACCATCAACAGACGGGCCCTGGCTGTCTCGGGGCCACCCACGTGGGGGACAGACAGATCAGACTTGCACTCTGCATTCTGATCCACGTGCACGGCCCAAATCACGTGGCCCAATGTCGTTTTGCACTCTCACAACATTCCGATTGCGTCCAACAGCATTTGACCGTAACGGGCGCACGTCTCCCCCTCCCTGAAATATTACACTTTTATCTGGCGAAAACGTTACTATGTACATGACAGCTAAATGAACAACATTAAGGTTATGAGAAAGACGCATAACCTTTGAGGGCTATATATATGTACTGTCGCAATTACAATGTTTGCTGCAGGCTCGGAGTAGTTCATCATGGGCCCAAAAGATAGGGAAATGTATATATATTTTTTACCAACAGTGACTATATTGAGCTAGGATATTAGTGTGGGCCTCTTTCCAGCCAGAACACGTAAGCCTCATAAAATCCACGATCGGAAAGCAGTTGTACACTACTTGTATTCATATTTACTGTGTACTGCACATTTTTTCACTGAGCCTCGGTGGAGAAAACTTCTTAGGAACCTGGTCTGACATGCTTATCACAGTGAGCACTGGAAATGGCCTTTAAAATGACACCGCTGTAGGCCACATCATCAGCTATGCCTTATCCATATCTGTTTTACCCAGGTACACAACCTCCTTTTAGTACAGTGATGCGGTTGCGGGTAAAGATCTCAGTACCATATAAGTGATTAATTAATACAGTGAGGGAAAAAAGTATTTGATCCCCTGATGATTTTCTACGTTTGCCCACTGACAAAGAAATGATTAGTCTATAATTTTAATGGTAGGTTTATTTGAACAGTGAGAGACAGAATAACAACAAAACAATTCAGAAAAACGCATGTCAAAAATGTTATGAATTGATTTGCATTTTAATGAGGGAAATAAGTATTTGACCCCTCTGCAAAACATGACTTAGTACTTGGTGGCAAAACCCTTGTTGGCAATCACAGAGGTCAGACGCTTCTTGTAGTTGGCCACCAGGTTTGCACACATCTCAAGAGGGATTTAGTCCCACTCCTCTTTGCAGATCTTCTCCAAGTCATTAAGGTTTCGAGTCTGACGTTTGGCAACTCGAACCTTCAGCTCCCTCCACAGATTTTCTATGGGATTAAGGTCTGGAGACTGGCTAGGCCACTCCAGGACCTTAATGTGCTTCTTCTTGAGCCACTCCTTTGTTGCCTTGGCTGTGTGTTTTGGGTCATTGCCATGCTATAACACCCATCCATGACCCATTTTCAATGCCCTGGCTGAGGAAAGGAGGTTCTCACCCAAGATTTGACGGTACATGGCCCCGTCTATCGTCCCTTTGATGCGATGAAGTTGTCCTGTCCCCTTAGCAGAAAAACACCCCCAAAGCATAATGTTTCCATCTCCATGTTTGACGGTGGGGATGGTGTTCTTGGGGTCATAGGCAGCATTCCTCCTCCTCCAAACACGGCGAGTTGAGTTGATGCCAAAGAGCTCCATTTTGGTCTAATCTGACCACAACACTTTCACCCAGTTATCCTCTGAATCATTCAGATGTTCGTTGGCAAACTTCAGACGGGCATGTATATGTGCTTTCTTGAGCAGGGGGACCTTGCCGGCGCTGCATGATTTCAGTCCTTCACGGCGTAGTGTGTTACCAACTGTTTTCTTGGTGACTATGGTCCCAGCTGCCTTGAGATCATTGACATGATCCTCCCGTGTAGTTCTGGGCTGATTCCTCACCGTTCTCATGATCATTGCAACTCCACGAGGTGAGATCTTGCATGGAGCCCCAGGCCGAGGGAGATTGACAGTTCTTTTGTGTTTCGTCCATTTGCGAATAATCACACCAACTGTTGTCACCTTCTCACCAAGCTGCTTGGCGATGGTCTAGTAGCCCATTCCAGCCTTGTGAGGTCTACAATCTTGTCCCTGACATCCTTGGAGAGCTCTTTGGTCTTGGCCATGGTGGAGAGTTTGGAACCTGATTGATTGATTTCTTCTGTGAACAGGTGTCTTTTATACAGGTAACAAGCTGAGATTAGGAGCACTCCCTTTACGAGTGCGCTCCTAATCTCAGCTCGTTACCTGTATAAAAGACACCTGGAAGCCAGAAATCTTTCTGATTGAGAGGGGGTCAAATACTTATTTCCCTCATTAAAATGCAAATCAATTTATAACATTTTTGACATGCGTTTTTCTGGATTTTTGTTGTTGTTATTCTGTCTCTCACTGTTCAAATAAACCTACCATTAAAATTATAGACTGGTCATTTCTTTGTCAGTGGGCAAACGTACAAAATCAGAAGGAGATCAAAAACTTTTTTCCCTCACTGTGCATACATCAGGCATGAATGTTCAGGTATAACTGAGAAACTTGTGGACTAGTGGTATCACCATTTCCTCTTTTCCCCACCGTTTTTACAACCCACCGTGTTTCGTACTTTTCAAGTCTGGTCACACCCTTGAAATCCATTAAGTAAATTTGATCTTGAGCACTTTGATCTTGCAAGTGCCCTCTCCATCCTGACATGCATACACAGTTGATTCCTATTTGATTTCACCGTCCTGTAAACCACCAGAGCAACACACACACACACATCGAAGTCTGCCCTCTCACTGAAGACATGACATTTCACTGTTATTATATTTTTATTAATGTATTGCTTATGTAATAATTCGTTTATTGTTTAATTATTATTGTGTTATTATTGTTTCACTGTTTTTATTATTTTATTTTAGTATCCATTAAATGTTTTTATTTACATAATATGCATTTTTTAATTACATTTATTTTATTATGTATTTTTTTTGTCTTATCTTTGGGTGCAGGCGTGTATACATAGAGTAAACTACTGTGTATGAATTACATGGAGCGTATGTGTAGAGGCATTGTTGTGCACTTCCCATGCTGTCAGCTGGTAGTATCCCACACGTGTCTATAGGGGGCGGAAGAGTGACTGAGCCAGGTGTCGAAAGACCATGGCCCAAGGGGTCAACGGTAACCCCTATGAGATAGCGGATCCAGGGACGTGGACCCCAGACCCCAGGAGAGGGCTCTAAGCTATACCAGTGAAGACTAAAGATAAGAGGCCACAGGCAGAGCCGTACCCCTGGCAAGGGTCGGCTCCAGCTTATATACCAGTGAAGACCAAGTTTCACTCAAGAAGAGTTAAAATAGCCAGCGAGAGGTGTATTAGTGTATCGAGTGTAAGAGGCCGTTAGGCTGAAGGGAAAAATATACCAGACCATCGTCCGACCGGTGGCACTCTATGGATCCGAGTGCTGGCCAGCCACAACTGTACACGAACAAGCTCTCCACACCATGGAGATGAGGATGCTCAGATGGAGCCTCGGGCTCACTCGATGGGATTGTGTCAGGAACGAAGACGTTCGGAAGCGACTTGGTGTGGCCCCCATTGCGGACAAGATGCTTGAGGCAAGGCTTCGGTGGTACGGCCATGTGATGCGAAGTGAAGAGTCATCAGTGGCCAAGACTGCCGTGCGTATTGAGCCAGAGGGCCGCCGTCCACGCGGACGTCCGAAGAAGCGATGGATGGACCGAATAAAGGAAGACATGAAGACGGTCAACGCATCCCCTGAAGATGCCCTGGACCGAGCCAAATGGAGAAGACAATGCCGAAAAGCGGACCCTGCGCCACAGCGGGAACAACGCTAGGAAGAAGAAGAAGAAGAAGTGTAAGAGGCCGTTACGCCTTTGTGTTAGGGATTATTTGTTAATAAAAATACGTGTTGCCTCAGAGAGACTATCCTCTAGTTATTGACCCACTACAAATGTACAAACAACATTGGACCAATACATTTGTAATAAAACAGGTCGACGACAAGCGACTGTGTCTCCGTCTCTTTATTTCTTCGTTATTTGGACAGCTCGCCATCCGCTCTCCCGGTCATTCCGCAGCACGTCGTGGGAGCTGACGTCCTGCTCTCACGCCGCTCTCTCGGTCGTTCCGCGGCACGTCGCGGGAGCTGACGTCCCGCTCTCGCGCGGCTCTCTCGCCGCTCTCTCGCTTCCCCGCTCCCGCGCACTGCTGGCAGACGGTGCGCTGGGAGCCGTCTCCGCGTCGCCACGTGGCCGATGGCTCGCGGAGACCCCCGACGTGGCCCAGCTTCCAGCTTCCACCAACTGACCCGAGCCCCTTCCGGCTCCCCCTTATATCCTCTTCCCACGTCACCCAGACTCCGCCCTTCGCCACACCCCTTAAGAACTTTCCAGATAATACCACCCCCTAACGGCCGCAGGCTCCGCCCTTAAACCCTACCCCCGATGGTTCGTGGCGCCTGGTTGGCTTAGGGGCTGGGGCGGCGAAACCCAGAATACGCTCGCATTACACATTGAATAAGTCATCGGCCCAGACCAAAAAAATCACTTATTGGTACCAGCTGAGGTGGCAAAGTCTAATAATGATTTTTGCAATCCTTATATGTGTGGGACATATTCTGATATGATAATGTTTGCGTAGTGGCAACTTAGTTGTAGTTACCATGACTTTCATACCCATACCCTATGACAGCCGTCTGGAACAATAAATGGGCATTATTACTGAAAAAACTACCTAGACCAAAGCCAGTTAAGTCACAAACTGGTCTTTTTTGGTTTAAATACACAATGAAAACACAGGATAATAAGGAATACCATAATAAGGTAAGGAACTACTTTACTATTATAAATGTAATAACAGCCATAGAGGGTTCACGTGGGGATTGGCTTGCCGGTCCTGCTCGTAGCCAATAAGGGTTGAGATTGGGACAGGTCATCAGAAGTGATTGGCCTAGCCATTCGGGGCCCCAGCTAATGGGGAGCCGGATGAGGGGCGTGGTCCCGGGATTGACAGGGAACCATCGAGAAGGGTCGAAGCTGTCCATACACGATTGGCTAGGGGAACCACGTGACGAAGGTCTTAAGAGCGAGCGAGAGGGAACGATCGAGAGCAGACTGAAATTAACAAGAGCAGGGTCATGCGCGGACGGGGCCTCGGGTTGCCACGTGCGCGGAGGGGACTTCGTGCGTAGTCTGTCCTCTCTCCGTTGTCTGCCAGCAACGGAGAGTGAGTGAGGAAAGTGTGTGGTGGAGTGGAAATAAAAAGGACTGATTCCGAAGCCGTCTCCTGGAAGATTATTACATAAACATTGACATTCCCATATACTTAGTCAATGATTCATGTAATCTCATATATATCGTTAGTGATTGGTATATGTGAAGAAGGTTACATTATTATTATCAAGCCCTGTGTGTACTTAGATGGTGTTAACAAGGGTAACCAGTCCAGAATCACCACACTGTCCATCAATGTATACTACTACCACAGTAATACCATCAGAATCACCAAACTGCTCGTATATCTCGTCATCTGACTCCCCGAGTTCAAAGTCAGGTTCTGGATCATCCTGCAGTTTTTGGTTACTGCAGGTCTGTAACCTGCACATGTCTCTGCTGTCAGTCCATTTGACAGGCACGTGCAGCTTGGCATTTTGCATGCACGCACACACTTGTATGCTAGAAGTTCCAAGACCACATCTGGTGCGGGTGGGGAGCGCATCCAGTAAATAGCCAGCTTGCCATCATTGTCCATCCATACTCAGTAGGGCTTGGCACCACAGGGTTAGCCTGCAGACAGTACTTTCAGATTTCTGCCTGATAGTTGGCTTGTTGAACATGCATGAAGAGACAGTCCCTACACGGTGGCAGCTAGCTGGACTCGACTTTTCCCCTTTTGGTGCAGAAGAGCTGGTTGCGCAGTTCGTTCACCTCACCAGTGCTGCTATTAGCAACATACATGCGACAGGTGAACTGCTCAATTTTCTGGAACAGCTCATCACTCACATTTCATAACTGCCCCAGTCGACTAAAAGTATCTTTGGCAGGAAGTGTCCTTTCTCACCATCTTCAGGGCATTCAGCTTCCCTCGACCGGCGAATGCACTGACAGTGTCGCAGCCTGTGAAGGCGTGTAAGCCAATTAGGCTGTCACAGATGCTGTCTCCAAGTTACCTTGCCAGTTTGCTGATATCGACAAATCGTGTGCGGTTCTGTGTCCCACACTTCTGGTAGATGGGACAGGTGATGTCCTTCTGGAAGCCAAGACAAAGCACCATGACATCAGTGTCCTCAGCTGTGATGATAACTGCATTTGAGCCCACATTTGCTGCATTCAATGCATACGGGAGCAGACGGATGTCAGCTTCTTCATGCGTGAAGTGCATCTCTGCTACTTCCTCACACTCATCTTGTCAACTTATAGGTGGTTTCCTCACATGTCATGTACAACACCTTGCCATGCAGCATCTCTCTGTATCGTGGGAGTTTACACTCTTTCACCAGAAACTTGATGAGACTGGTCTTGTTGGATGGACTGCACAGGGATTTTCTCCACTGCTGAACTTGGTGTCCCCTTGCAAGGTTCTTGTATTGGAGAGTGGTGTCTGCACCCTGGTTCAGTCGTTCAGCATCTTTGATCGAAGTCTGCCGGTAGACATCAAAAACAACATACATCCTTTCACTCTGTGCCCCCTCGTGGAGGTCCTGGGCCAAGGCTAACTCTGCCACCTGTGCAAAGGTTTTGTTGTTGCCATTAATTTTTTGGACCAGGCTCAACCCATCAATGATGGAAGTAGATAGGTTTGGGATGTCTTCTGCAGGAGACACATTTTTTTCAAGCTCTCTGGCAAGTGCAGCCTTGTTTGTTTTTTGATGGGACCATCAGCATTGCCCATGGCAGTGGGCCCAGTGGGTGGGCAAGGACATCCTTCATACTATTTGGTTCTTTCGGTAAAGTCACGTAGGTAGAACAAATGATAGATCACGACGTTCGATTGCAACACAAGCAATCGTCATCAGGTGGGATAACCACAGCAATAAAAAACTGCTGAAGTAGGCAAGAGATCTGCCGTGGCACGAGGTTATATAGGCCTCCGCAGTAAGGGGGGAGAGAGAAGGGGGGAGGAGGCTGGGCAGAAAGTGGACCCCGCAGCAGCCCCCGAGTCACTGGAGTAAAGTGGACCACCGCAGCAGCACTGGAGAGGTCGGCTGCAGGGGGGGGGGGGAGAGAGAAGGGGGGGGGGGGGCAGATCAGAGAGAGATACACAGAGAGAGAAAGACACACAAAGAGTCAGAAATAACAGCTGACATAGGCAGGTAGGATGGAAACATCACAGTCAGTTAAGACCTATTGGTTCATTTAATTATGTTAAAATAAATCTCGATTTAAAGCTTTCGTGACTGCAGGGATTCATCTTCTTGGTTCTTTCGGCACATGTTAAAACAAGATTTTCGCTTATTTTGTTTTAGAAATAATACCACGTTAAATGAAAATGACAAAATATATAAAACATATCCCTCTGAACATTTCTAGCTATTCCAGGTAGGTAGCAGTATGTATAATGATGTGGCTTTACCTATTATGAAACACTAGCGGTTAGTACCCGGCGTTGCCCGGGCGAAAAAGGCAGACACACGCAAATCCATTGATACACACACATAGAGTTACACGCACAAATGGACTCACACATAGATACATACATAGACTGAACAACAACAACAACCGCCATTCGGCACTAAGTGGTGGTGACGTCACAACAACTCCTCTACAGTGGCCGATCTTGATACGGCTGGTACCAGTCATCCGCAAGTGGACTCAGCTCCAAGTCCTCCTGTAGCACATCACTCCATGTCTTCTCCAGCCCGTGCCGCGCCCGTTTAGCCCCCTCGATCTGGCGGAACAAAAGGTGTTTAGGCATGCGGTGGCTGGCCATGCGGGCTACATGACTCAGGCAACGCAGCCTTGCCTGCCGGAGGTCACCGATGGGACTTTGTCCACATCTTTCAAGGATTTGTGAGCTCCTCACACAATGCAGCCTGGTTAAACCCAGGATGGATCGTAGGTAGACCAGCCTAAATGTTTCTAACCGGCGAAGATGTTCCAAGTTTCGCAAGCGTAGAGAAGGGAGGGAATGACCGTGGCCGAGAAGACCTGAAGCTTCGTACGAAGTGATAGACCAGGTAGCTTCCACACAGCGTTACGCAGCCAATGAAAAGATACTGCAGCTGGACTGATTCGGAGTGAGACCTCTGCTGTTAAACCGGAGCCGGTCATTAGCACACTGCCCAGGGAAACTCTCCACTGTCTCTACAACTGCCCCATCACCAATTGGGAGTTGTGGGGGTGGAGTGTCCGATGGTACAAAATAGCCAGGCAGGTGCTTAGCTTTGGTTGGGCTGATGGTAAGGCCTCACCTGTTGGTGGCAAGCTCCAGGTTCAGCAGCAGCACCTCGAACTCCTCCTCGGAGTGAGCAGCCATTAGCAGATCATCGGCATACATAACGTGGTTGAGCAATAGGGAGCCATCCCTTGACCGCACCCGGGCATCGATCAGCCTCCCATTGTATCTGTAGCAGATGGGAATTCTTCCGGTACAGGCATTGAAGGCTCGACGAACTACGTGGTCCAATGTGGGAGCCAGAGGACATCCCTGTTGCGCCCCAAGGTGTAAAGAGAATGGCTCTGACTCACGGCCACGTAGTTAAGACGCGGGGCCGCTCACCATCATGAAGGTCCTTAAGGATGGTGATGAGTTGGTTCGGGACTCGGAAAGCACGAAGAGCAACCCAGAGGCCAGGCCTACTGATGGTAGCATAGGCCTTGAGCAGGTGAATAAAGCACACGCATGGACTAAGATGCACACATGGACCTACAGACACGCAAAGAAATGGAGTTACACTGACTAACATGGAGGCATGCACACACAGCGACTAACACACACGCACATGGACTGAGACACACACACACAGACATATGGACTGACACACACAAACACATCGACTTACAGACACACATATGGACTGACACACATAGACATGCACTTGAGATACGCACACACAGAGTTACACACACATATCGACGTACACACATACAGCGACACACACACATACATAGAGTGACACACACATTGCCGTACACACACATACACATGTGGACTGTCACACAGACATCCACTTGAGATATACACACATGGAGTTGCACGCACATATATGGACGTACACACATACAGCGACTCACCCACACACACCGACTAGCACACAGGAATACGTGGACTAAAACACACATTGACGTAAAGACACATATGTCCTTACACACACACATATGGACTAAGACACACACACATGAACTTACACATATGTAGTGGTGATACGCGCTGGGGTGGGAATCGTGTGCCAGCGCGTAGTGATTGGCTGTGTGTGTTGGTGACGCGCGCTGACGGTGAAGGATCAGGGGTCAGCGCGGGGTCGGGGGTTATGAGGCAGTGATTGGCTGGGTATCGGTGACGCGCGCTGACAGCGATGGGATCCTGGGGCAAGCGCGCGGGGATTGGTCAACTAAGGGGGATGCTCACGTCGAGGTCCGCATACGCTCCGTCTCCCGAGAGCGGGGGCTATATAAGGTGGTGCGCACAGGCGCACGGGGAGTTGGTGACCAGCGAAGACTGAAGACGGAGGAGGAAGAGATAGGGCCCTGCGGCACCTAGTCCCGCTGTCCTTGTAAGGGCCGCTCACCATCATGAAGGTCCTTAAGGATGGTGATGAGTTGGTTCGGGACTCGGAAAGCACGAAGAGCAACCCAGAGGCCAGGCCTACTGATGGTAGCATAGGCCTTGAGCAGGTGAATAAAGCACACGCATGGACTAAGATGCACACATGGACCTACAGACACGCAAAGAAATGGAGTTACACTGACTAACATGGAGGCATGCACACACAGCGACTAACACACACGCACATGGACTGAGACACACACACACAGACATATGGACTGACACACACAAACACATCGACTTACAGACACACATATGGACTGACACACATAGACATGCACTTGAGATACGCACACACAGAGTTACACACACATATCGACGTACACACATACAGCGACACACACACATACATAGAGTGACACACACATTGCCGTACACACACATACACATGTGGACTGTCACACAGACATCCACTTGAGATATACACACATGGAGTTGCACGCACATATATGGACGTACACACATACAGCGACTCACTCACACACACCGACTAGCACACAGCAATACGTGGACTAAAACACACATTGACGTAAAGACACATATGTACTTACACACACACATATGGACTAAGACACACACACATGAACTTACACATATGTAGTGGTGATACGCGCTGGGGTGGGAATCGTGTGCCAGCGCGTAGTGATTGGCTGTGTGTGTTGGTGACGCGCGCTGACGGTGAAGGATCAGGGGTCAGCGCGGGGTCGGGGGTTATGAGGCAGTGATTGGCTGGGTATCGGTGACGCGCGCTGACAGCGATGGGATCCTGGGGCAAGCGCGCGGGGATTGGTCAACTAAGGGGGATGCTCACGTCGAGGTCCGCATACGCTCCGTCTCCCGAGAGCGGGGGCTATATAAGGTGGTGCGCACAGGCGCACGGGGAGTTGGTGACCAGCGAAGACTGAAGACGGAGGAGGAAGAGATAGGGCCCTGCGGCACCTAGTCCCGCTGTCCTTGTAAGGGCCAGGGCTCTGTGTGACCCAGAGGCGGGACCCTGGGACCCGGGGCCGAACGTCCGTGTGAGGGCCGGCCCTCGGGACCCAGAGGTTGTGACTCACGCCCAAGCTGGGGTGGGTCTGGAGGCTCCACGAACGTTACGGGGCTGGAGTGCAGTGAGAGCATGCAGTGTGAGCATGCAGCGTGAGCCATAGTAACTACACGTGTCAAGTGGAGTGTGTGTAGTGTGAGGAATAGTGACCACACGTTGCATCGTGACAAGTCAAGGTTTAATAAAAAGTGTGCTACCCGTCAAGTGGTTTCCTGCCGTCATTCCGAATACTTCACATACATAGACTGACACACACATAGCCCTACACACACATACACATATGGACTGTGACACACAGATATCTACTTTAGATACACAGACATGGATTAACACACATATGGACTCACACACAGACGCATTGACTTACACACACACATCGAGTGACACACACATGTATAGACTTACACACACATGTGGACTAACACACACATATGGACTGACATACACATCGACGTACACGCACACAGATCGACTGACACACCCACATGGACTAACACACGCATAAACACTTTGACGTTGTCCATTCGAAAAAGACACCCACATGGAGTTAAAGACACGCATGGCTCTACACGCACACACATATGGACTCAAAGACATACACATGGACTCACACACACACACATCGACGGGCACAGCAATCCCCGATGATGGTACAGCTATCAGTATCGCAATACTACGTATGAGCAAATAGCGTGACGTGAGCGATGGAAACAATAGAAATGCATTTAAGAAATAAGCAGAAATCACAGACTGGCAGTAGACCGTGGCAGCGTTATAAAAGCTCAGCAAAAAAAGGGGAAATTGAGCAACCCAAAAATCCAAAAAGCTTTTTGTGTACACAAACATAATTATTGTAACATGTCAACTTGTTTCATAATGGTAAACAATGAACCTGAGTTATCTTCACAAAAACATAATTATTGTAACATCTGTGAACTTGTTTCATAATGTTGAACAATGAAGCTGATTTTTTAACTGCACACAAACATTATTATTGTAATGTTTGTCAACTAATGTGTTTAACAATAGTAAACAATGGACTTGAGTTGTTAGCGTAAGAAGCAAGGAACTTTGTACTTACCATAGGCGTGTTGAGGCCTTGTGCCATGCGTAGTCCCCGTCCTGGCCTACATTGGCGAGGGGCGGAGTTGGCACGTTGCCAGGCTAGGGGCTGGGCCGCTATCCCCTCCCCAGCATCCCCTGGCCGTGCAAGAATAATGGTATGTAAGCAGTAAAATATTAATATCTACGGAGTCTGTAGTATAATCTGGACGCATCGTGTTGGGGGGAGGGGGGGGCGAAGAGGACATGACACTGTGAATAAATATCCGCAGCGTGATGTGTGTATGTATTGCCTGTAAAACGCGAAAAAGAAAATGTCCCCTGTGAGCTCGAGCGAAGGCGCATCACTTGATAGGGTCCGCCCCCCCCCCTCGCAATTGGCATCACTTGGTACGGTCGATGTCGTGCAATAAGTAAATAATGAATAATAGAAACGGCACAAATGTGTTAATTAAACTACTTTAAAGTTTACGGATGCAAAAACGGAATAGCCTATTCCTACCACGGGGCTTAGGGCGTGCCGCCTGGCAAATTATTTCAGTCTTAAACCCCCCCTTCCGAGAGCCAAATCCCCCGCAAGCGCGAGCGCATGGAGACTTTTATATATAAGAAAAAAAAGAAAGATGAGTTGTCAAACTCAGCATGCAAAATGTCATTTTGAGAAAATAGCATCACAAGGCCAGTTTTGGCCTTGTGATGCTAGTGTAGTAAGTATGTAGGAGGCTTGACGACAGGGTCGGAGGCACACTTATTTATTACAACAACTTGTGCACACACAGTACTTACGGGTCACTTGGCTACAGGGATACACAACAGCTAACCCCGCTAACCTACGCCCAAGTCCTCCACTACGGAGCTAGGGGAGGCTATCTATCCCAGCCCTGGTCAAGCTGGGATCCCGGCACCCTGAGTCTCCAGACCGGCTCGTCAGTCTGGGCTCTCGGGGCCACGCCACCGGCTTGCCCTGGTCGGCCCTTATAAGGACAGTGAGCCAGGGGAGCTCTGGGGCCTATTCTAGCAGGTCTTCCTTCTTCTCTGGTTAAAGCTGATCCCCGACCTCGAGCCCTCCGGCTCACCACCTTTTATAGGACTCGGCCCTCGGGAGGGGCCCGTGGGGGATGCAGGTGCGGACGTCGGTGCGAGCACCTCCCCTGTGTACGGCCGTAACCCCACCCCTTGTGTTTGTTAGCCATCCGTGGCCATGCACAATTACACCTCTACATTCGTGGCCATGCACAATTACACCTCTACACTAGTAGCAATGAGATTTGAGAGTTATACTTGTTTTCTCCCTCTTATTGCCATGCCAGCAAAGTAAATAGCCATATATGACTAAGCTACACATCTGCCCAAGAGAATAAGCTTATCAATGATATGCAATTAAACCTGGTTATTTCTTAAAATGTGGAGACATTGCGATGAAAGATGCAAAAAAAGCTAATTTAAGGCTTTGTTTACTTGGCGAAGTTTGTATAAAATCGTAAAAACTAACTATTTATAAAATATATAGTTTTTATTATTTTAGTAATCAATTATTAATTGTGTGCATGTAATGAAAGTTTACAATTTATAGAAGAAAAATGTAAAAAAATTGACAAACTAAATAAAAATATTTGTTTTTGTCTGTAGTACCTGGCCTTAACTAATAATCTTAATAGGTACATTAACAATACATTGAGGGTAAAGTAAGCACTTTAGATATCTTTACTCAACATAAATAATACAGAACCACCAGTACTTGCCTCACCTGCCAGTAAATGATCATGAGCAAACAAGCTGCTAGAAACAGAAGGAAAACAGATAGCACCAATCTTTTCCAGACTTAACTAAGTCACTGAAATTGAAGAACAAACGTGAATAAATGCAAGAATATGTATGAAATACATGCCTTGGGGACAAACATCAATTTAATACAATTTTTATTGCCTTAATTCACAGCAGAGGTGTTGGAATGTTTTATTTGTAACGTCCGGGCATATAGTAGTGATTGCGATCGGTGCAAAAACAGTTTATTTTGCGAGAAAAAAATTACAGCTGCTCATTTGGAAAGGTTATCATGTATTATTTTACTTCTGTTGGTGTAACAAATAATTGAAGTTGGTACCGATATCTGGTCTGGCCCAAGGTCTATTTGTGCTTTGCTGCAATCAGTCTAATACTGCTTCCTGGTATGTAAGTCACGATGTCAGAGTTAAAACCTGCTCTCTATAAATGACAACTGTTTTTGTTTATATGATGCATGTGTGTTGATATGCATACATATGTTACATGTAGATATGCATGTACTTGCTTTATATTATATATGTGTGCACAGTGGATAATAAATCATATGCAAGGGCCTGATTAACCACATGAAATAAAAGACTGTAACTTTCGAGTACGTCAGCCTCTGAGTCTCCAGAACTATTGTTTTCAAACAGCATTTGTTTTAGCTCGCAAACTATGGTCTGCCATGATGAACTTGCCTATGAACCTGCAACCTGAGTTTGATTCCTGACCACAGTTATCTTTGATAGTAGGTGTTATCTGAATCCATCCTGGGCTATCAGGAAGGTGAGAACCATATTTAATGTACAATTAAAATGCACTATTCCCACACTTCTTTACTTTCCCAACTCCACTGGCTCCCTGTCTACAATCGCTGCCTTTTAAAATTTCTCATTCGTCTATAAATCCCTCCATTGTCTTGTCACACCTTATCTTGCTTCTCTCACCTCTTATTACTCTCACCCCATCCCTTCCTCTACGCTCCCAGTCTCTGCTGTCTCGATGTGCTTCCCTCGCCCTGCGCCCAGTCTCGTTCTTGTTCCTTTTCCCTTCTTTCTCCCCTTCACTGAAACAAACTCCCATTGCACATAAAAACAATTAACGGAGTCCATTCCTCTCTTAAAAAAGCCCCCCACATCTCTTCTCCATTGCCCCTACTACTGCTACTCTCTTCCCCGGCTCCCCAGATACGACCAGGTCTACCCCAAACTATATAATTACCTATATATAATTACCCCTATCACTACTCTTATCACTCCCTCACCCCCTACCCCTACCCTAACCCATTCTTAACCACTCCCACCTGTCCTCCTAACTGTCACCATAGCTAGATCACCACTCATTATAACCACCATCATCTTCATGTACAATATCATAATTATCGCAAAGCGCCTTGGACTAAGGTGCCACATGAATCTATATAAGATAAGATATAATGTCGACTAAAATGTACGATCACTTGCGAGAAAAGTGATTGCATCACCCCTGGTGGTCGTTATCTTGTTACAATCCTTGGCAGCCGCTCCGTCGCTTTTCTTGACCACCAACCATCGTCCCTTCTGGCGACGCGTCCTGGCTACTTGCGCTACCCAAGCCACTTATTGTTTTTTAACAGTTCAAATGATGTCTGTATATGTTACGTGCTACATACATGTGTTCCTCTTTTTATTTCTCCCATAATAATTCCAAGAGTGCATATCTCCACGCTTCTTTGTACGCTTCTCAGTTTTTTACTATATTTTTTTTTTGTTAATGACCATGTTTCTAAACCATATGATAGCAGGTAGTAGGCACTGATTAATTACTTTCTTCCTTGCACATTGCTCTTTTCATTTATCCCGTTCAACTTTCCAAAATATTTCCGGTCATAAAGCTTTCTAAAATAAACACATAAATCATAAAATGAGTTTGTTTTACTGTTGCAAGCGTTGCAAATTTAATGCATATGCAAGGTATTGCACATTCCAATCTCTGAAGTTGCCCATCAATACATTTAAAATGTTCAAGGACCAACATTAAAATATCACTATCAGTCACTGTCATTGCTTAAATATATAAATTGTCATCCACCATAAGTAATCATTCACAGCACGTAACAACATGAATAATTAGACAATCCATGTCTTAACATGTTTAAGCAGTCGCTTGGGACAAATGCGGTTTTACTCATCTGAAGCCATTTGCATAATCCAGTAATGTATGTAATAGAATAAAATGGCAATCATGGTCTTAAAATATATATAAAGCAATGTCACATTTAGAGCTCAAGATAAAAACATTGATAACATTATCATAATGAGGCACTTCACGGGGTTTGTGTGCAACAATTAAAAAAATGTTCATATTTTGCTATAAAACTACCACCAAATAATTCATACAGCTTTTTCATGCTCGTGTGACTTCGCGGTTTCTGTTGACATGTCTTGTGTGAACAATTTATCCTTTAGTGCTTTTAACTGCAATCTGGTTTTATATCTTTTTGTAATTCATTTGGTTAATGAAATTAAATCTCGAATCAATATGCATTCATTATTGCACTGTGTGATAATCTTAATGAGATGTTTTGGCAGTCAATGGAATAACGGACTAACGTCTTCAATTATTATTATTTGGTTCTTTCGGTTAAGTCACGTCTAAAGATAAAATAATAAATTAAATTAAATAATAGCATACGACGTTTCGATTGCAACACAAGCAATCATCATCAGGTATAATGAAATAGCGACATAAAATCTAACCAGAAAACTATAGACAGACATATTAGCAGACAGATATCACCAAGATACATAGAGGGAGCAACACAGGTAACAGAGAGGGGTGATCATCTCTGTGGGGTGGCCTTAAATAGACAGAGGGGGGAGGAGGCAGAGAGAGGGAGGGGGTTAGAGAAAACATTTGCATATAAATGATTGGTCAAAAAACAAGGTTCTGCAAGTGCGATGACACGGCAAGCAAGTCTGAAAATCAGGAGAAGGACAAACTAAAATTCAATAACCTAGTAAAATATCGAAATGTAATGTAATACAACACAGAGGGTCGGTCAACACACAATTAACGTCTTCAACTTCAATTTGCATAATTGGACTACACCAGGATCTGCTGATGAGACCCCGGATGTCGAGGTGTTCCGTATATTTAAACCAATGCTGCAAAAACAACACTCCCAGAAGGCCGTGCGGCCGATAGAAGTCTCCAACATTACACAATTGTACTTAGATGTTTTGTTGTGAAGAGACTATAATGCATGGTCTGCTTATTTATTGGGTTACCTATATTCTCCCGCCATTGCTGATGATGATTTTGTTTGATTATTATAATTGACAACAGTAAATTGCCCAAAACAAATCTTAATATCAGTGAGGCAAAATCCTTAAGAGCAAATAAAGATATCCAAATGCTGCTGATAACGATCAACTTGATA